TTTATTTAAGGGAGTACAGTAAAAGAAATATAAACGCAACGCTCCATTATGTACAGTCAACAACGAAAAAACAACATATAAAAAACTTAAAAGCTAATAAAATAAAAAATAACTAAGCGATATAAACCATATTTTATATATTTATTTCTTCTTTTTTAAATTAATTATTTACATTTAACGTATTTGGAGGTGGGTCGGCCATTATTATGTAAATACATAGTGTCTTTTTATAACTTTTTTAAATCTCAATATTTATCCAAAATTATTACGCCAAAAACTCAGTTTTTCCAAAAACGCATATCTTACAAGATTGAATTTCTACGAACAAAAATCAGATCTCTCTTCAAATGAATATTACATATATTTATATGTTTAATGCGTCCACTTGATTTAAGGTCTCAGAGATTTATACTCAGGTCATAACTTTAATGATTTGAAAATACTTTTATAACAAAAAACAACTTACATTCATGTGGACGCACTTTTATCATAGAATTTTAGAATTTTTACTATAGTATACAAATTTATAAAACGCTATACCTACTTGAAGTAAAACTATTTTCTTATTTCTAATAAATTATGCCAATTAATTTAAAACGCATCGAATGAAAATTGTTTTGATTACTTTTTAATAATAAATAGGTCGTAGCCAACTAACATAATTAGGCTTTCAGTTAACAGTCTAGCCTTTTTACTAAACGGCTCCATTAGCTAAACGCACGAACGATATTCAGCCGATGCGTCTATAGTTCGGCCAAATCGATTGAGAAAAACGAACATTGACCTTTAGGTCGTTTAACCAGGGGCTACAAACCTTCAATATATAGGCACTTTTTATATAGTACTTTCTTTATTTATAATGATTTTTTAATTTTTTTTATAATGATTGATATAATATATATATTTATTAACTATTATTTAAAAGTTCTGTAAAAGATCGCTGTAGAAGAAAAATCATCTATTGTTATAAAGTACTTTATTCATTTAACAACAAAAAGCATTAATGTATAACACATATAAAGATTCGAGTGATAACGACACCGAATAAGTATGTACTTATTCAAAAGATAAAACTTTATTTTAAATATTATACAAGAACTTTATTTTTATTCGGTGCATGCGGGCCGGCCCAAAAAAGTGACGCTCTGGCTGCCATTGTCACGTTTCTTTTAGAACGAACTGACGTAACACGCGTTTCGTTTATTTTAAAGGGATGAATTTGCAAAAGCTCGATATGGTGATTATATTGTTTCAAATATTCTTTTTAATATGAAACTGTTATTAAATGAATTGCTGCGTTACTTACCATAAATTGAAATATAAAATATAACACATTTTTCGCGATGTACCGTAAGATTTTACGATGTTTATAGAACCACAGACAATACTATATAAGAAACAAAAAAAAACATATGTCCTAACCAGAAGTGTGAATAATATCAAAATGCTTAAAAAAATTGTTATCACATCCAAATTTTAGATTTTGTAAGTTACGCCTTTTGACACTCGGCTCATATCTGATGTCATCGTCTGTTTTTCTCAATCTATTTGGCACGAACTATAATACAACATTGAACATATCGTGTAATATCAAAGACAGTAGCTAAGGTGCGGCTGGAGTATCACTTGGGCCACCCTAGCATCAAGTGCATTTATATAATATTATAGCACATAGACTGTCCCGTTATTTACAATTAACAGGGTGATCATGCCATGTTATGTCCAGGTTGTTAAATGAAAAGCAAATTAAGCTAGTTGGCTGGACAAATACATAATGAAAAAATAGTGTAGATATTTTATTTGTCCAGAAAAAACTATTCGTCTTTTGATATTACCAAATAAAAAGCACTTTTTCTAAGCTTTTTTTTTCATAACTGTACTTGGATGTGGGTACAAGGGATCCAGCCCAGAAACGTCCAGGATATAATAGTTGCCGTGTAGTGGCGATGTAAGAAATTCTCTCGTGGTAGAGCCACGCTGCAGCTATATTATAGTTGTAACACGAATGGGTCGGCTTGATCGAGGAACGACCACGCTCTAACAGAATACCAACGTAAAATAGCAGCTCAATTCTGCTCCGTTTTTCGTATGGTAATTGTAGAGTACCGGAAACCCTTTCTACTTGAAACATAACATTCCATTTTAGTTCTCCGGGGTGACATCGCATCTGCATTTTAATACTTAAACGAGGATAAATATAGATGTCTATAGGCCACAGCATCCACTTACCATTAGGTGGGGTGTGTGCTCGTTTGTCACTCTTATTCAATAAAAAAATCCACTAACTCATGACATCCCGTGGGTGTCGTAACAGGCATTTGAGGTACACCAAAACACGATATGCATAGTAGCATCTCTGTGATAATTATACAAATAAAAACTGCGGTTGCCGAAACTCTTGCCAAGCGTGGCAACTATGGCAAATATCCTCCATGTGTGGCAATATATGGGAGAGGCCTCTGCCTATCAGCAGAAGACTTTTGATAGGTTATATTTTTTTAATAGGATATAGGGACAAACGAGCACACAGTTCACCTGATGGTAAGTGATTACTGTGACCCATAGACATCTACATCTATCCTTGATTACGAATCAAAATGCAGATGCGTTGCTACCCGTGAGGACTAAGATGGAATGCCTCGTTTCCAGTAAAAAGGGTCTCCGGTTCTCTAAACTCACCATACGAAACACAGCAGCATTAAGCTACTATTTGACGCCGGTATTCTGTGAGAGCGTGGTCCTTCCCCGGTCGAGCCGACCCGTTCGTGCTACAACTATACTACTAATAAAACTGCAACATGGCTCTACCACGTATAAAAATATTAAATGGATATATGAAAACTTAAAGATGAGAAGGGATCCGGTCCCTGGGAACGTATTATTTGTCGTCCAGAAAGTCTCACCTTTTAATTTCACATATACCGTACCGGTAAAGCGTAACACACTAGGCGTCCCACAGGGGGGGATATATTCCATAGTTGCCACGTTTGGCAAGCGGGTTAGCAACCGCATTTTTTTTTGTTTTTAGTCCTTATTAGGAAGACGCTGCTGCCCATCTCCTGATTTGATTCCCTGTGGCACCTCTTACGAAACCCACGGGATGATATAGGGTAGTAGATACTCTTACACCACTACTACATAGCTCACGTATATTCAAGCACATTTGTTGATTTCATGTGTTTAATTAATATACTAGTGATCTTCGTAACCATTATAGAGGTATATCGTGTAATATTATTTATTTTATTTCATTGAATTTAATTTCTATTGTGGACTTTTTGGTTCAATGGTCTAAGCGCCCATCTATCGAAACATTGTAAGATTCGAATCGCATACAAAAACAATAACGTTCTTGATTTTTGGATTAGGTTTTGTTGTACTCAGTATGTTTTATTGATTCTGTCTCGTTTATTTCATTTGTCTAAGATATTTTCAGCACTAATTTTGATTAGAATTAGAAAAAGCTACCGGCCAAAATATAAAACCATATAGTCAACTATAGATTTTATTCATTACGGTTTACGGACCGGGTCTCAATTATTCTTTACCAAGTGCATTTAATGTTGCTAGATCAAAAAATGTAAAGTATTGGATTTAGCCATATATGTATTTTAAAGTGCTCTTAAAATTAAAAATTAAAAAAACAACAGTAGCCTAATGGCAGGGTGCGGACCGCGAACTCGAAAAGGTCGTGGGTTCGAATCCACTATTCGACTACTGGCGTGAACCACTCGTAACACAAGCAATTTAAGCTTACCACGCGTGGTTAAGGAGAATATTAGTAATGTTATAGCATTGTTAATATTCTTTTTTTTTTCAATTAATAAATAAGTGCAGAAAAATAAATTATATCGACTTTCTGATTTGAAATGTTGGTCCTTCGTAGTTAGCCATATAGCTCGAAGAACCGATAACAAATGGGGAAGAAAGGTTCTAGAGTGGCAGCCCCGTGTAGGGCGACCCTCCACTCGATGGGAGTGACGACCTGCTGAGACATGCAACAAGTCGATGGATTTAGGTAGCTTTGGATAATGCTTTGTGACATTCTTTGTGGTAGGCATATACTCATCAGTGGCCTTGAGAAGGGATGTAATGATGATGATGATGAAAATGATTTCAAAGTAGCACAAAGATTTACAAAATCGTGATAGGTTGGGAAACTTCATTAAAATGTTATAGTTCTTGAGTAAATCGATCGAGTTCGATCCCCTTCGGTACCAACAGAGTTGTTAAACGCAACTTTAAGAACTGATATATAACGTGGTTAGGGAAAACATCGAGAAGAAATCTGAAGGTAACGGTGAAGTTCCCCCTCTTCTCCAAAACCCTCTCGGAAATGAGAGATCTCTACCCAGCATTGGGGAGTACATACTGATATAGATGTTTCATCTCACGAAGGCGGGCGAGCCTTACTTGTAGTTATGTGTAAAGACACGTGTGGCTGTGTGCGTAACTTCAGGTAACGTTAGCAAAACTATCATTAAACAAAATAATATTATAAGTTTCTTAAAACACTACTATAAGATAGTAAAATAAAATTGTTTTTCGTTTTCAATGGGAATATATTTACATTTTAATTACAGTAAGGATCTTGATAACGTTGCAGAAATTCATATTGTCTTGTGAAAACTATACAACTACTTTACGGTCTGACGGTACTCGATAATATTTTTTGACTATTGAATTTATGCACACTAAAATAATGTAATTGTGCACGTTAATCTCACATGTAAAACCACTCCCCATCGCATCGTAAGATGAAAATACTATATTGTAGTATTTTTCTACAATTAAAATAATATGCTGTTTGATAAAGAAGACAGTGGAATTTAAGTTCAGTTTTGAAAAGCATAAGAGGCACATCTGACTGATAGGTAAGAAACCGATTTCCACAACATATATTGGTCCGTGTGCTACATACATATATAAAATATACATCTAACGTCTATCGCTAAGCACCTAGATATACAATATACTATGTCACTATATTATCTAATACATTAATATATCATTTTGTGTAATTTGAGGATTTTGCCGAGGCGCTGCTTCGCCGTCTTCATACCCTTTTTCAGTCTTATATCTGAAAATAAAGGAAACCATTTTCAAAATAGAGTTAGTTAAAAGTTTTATCTCTCTAGTACATAATAATAATCTATGGTCCTATTTAACTACAAGAAAACAATGACGTCATTTATTTATTTTATAAGCATATCAACAAATCTAGTTCAAATTAAATGCCGTTGCCTTTACCACCTCAGCCAGAGTCAAAGGCAGAAAATCTGCCACGACACTATTCTATATGTAGTAAATGATAATGATTACATTAATAGTTAAACGTATGACAAGGCTGGTACGCGCCTGCTGGTGTTTTTGTGATGGATTTATGGGTCATTTTAGTTGATAAAATGTGATATTTTTAACAGTGATGGATGATAAGCTTAAATACGTAAAAAATCGTTGTACCTGCACACTTACTCTTGTTATTTGGTGTGTTGTGAACGGGTGGCGGCGGTCGCGTGCTCTTCGTCGCCAACACGGCGCGTTTTGCGTTCTGATTAAACAAAAAAAAAAAGATATAATAAATTTTATACTTTCATTCAAACAGGAGTCTTTTAAATGTGCTATAACTGGACAGTTTTAGTAATTTTAGGTTCCTCATTCAAAAAATATAATTTATGAAAAAAAAAACAATATAATAACAATGCAGTAGCAGTAATAGATTTTACCGTAAAATATTTACTTCTGTGTCATTATCCAGTTAGAAAATAGAGTATTACATTGGTAAGGACTAAATACTGTCACGGATGTCCTGTTATTGGAAGGTGTAATAAACGTCTTAATTACTTCATTCATTCATTGAAGCATCGGCTAAGATTTTCAAAGTAAAAGATTACATCTAACATCCGGCTCGAAGGACCAAAACGCTTTTGGAGGGTTTGCATTTTATACTGGTAGTGATTACGTGACATATAAATGACAGATTGATAGCAAATGTACTCAAAAATATAACTATAAATATAATATTGATATTATGTTGTGATAAGAGTACACATTGCTTGGTTGCTTACCCAACGTGTGTGACTGCAGGTTGGGCATCCTTTCGTCATATATTTTTATTCTTGCACAGTAAGGTGTTTCATTTTACATTGTATGTTCTGAGCTTTTTTTTACTGTCTGAGAAAAAAGATAGACGAAAGATGTGTGCATGAGTGCGTGTCAAGAAGTTGAGCAGGGCTTCGGTGTCGTATCACTTAAAATGTCCGTAGTGTGCCATCTGCTTTGTCAGTCTGTGGTCATTTCATTTACTCACTCACTTATCTGGGGGCCAGAGGTTCGCGATTTGAGAACGCTGTTCGAAAATTGAAGTGGTTTTTGTGCGTGTAAAGTCCAGTCGCGGAGCAGGAAGAATTTCGTACAATGACCTCTTTGCCTACTGACACTGGTCACAAACATTTTGTGTTAAATGTGGTTTATATGAAATATTTGAAGGATAAAAAAATAAATTTACTATCCTATTAAATACATTATTGGTATAATATATGTATATATATATATATATATATATATATAGATATATATAGATTTTAGTGTAAAAATTGCTAATTTGACAGAAATAAAAAATTAAAATTCAAAAATCTGAATCTGATTTCTCTAAATCGGAGTTACTGCTTTCCGATGACGTCCCGTCTGTGACATTTATTACATAAGAACCAACAGTTTTGTCTACATTAAACTAACAAATTAACAAAACCACTTAACAATTAAAAACAAGATAACAAAAACTACACAACAACAAACTAAGAATAGATAACTGTGTCCGAAAACTGTGCGATCACTAACGCATTCCAAGATGGAATGTCGTTTGTTCGTTATTTAAAAATTATTAACTATGTCAAGCAAGCCAAGTATTTTTGGTCGTGCCTCAAGTCCAACAACACAGAACAAAACTTACAGTCTCAGGTAAAAGGTTTACAATCCCTGAGGACGGCGGTCATTGCATCTGTGCAAGCAAGACGCTTTTTATTTATGCGGGAGTGACAGAGACAGGTAACAAAAGGTTAACGTACGAAATTCTTCCTTCTTCGCGTCCGGACTACAGTCAGTGTGTCCACATTTGGTTTCTGTTTCAGGTTTCGATTGAGGTATCCCTTTTTTAAATGCCTTTATTTTTCTTTTCGAAAATAATTAAGAACAATTTTGCTGAATTAGTAATAAATCATTGTAATCTGTTTACAGTGAGTCAGCTTATTAATTCGTTTGTAGTTTATTCGCCCATCTACCCTTGCTGTTTGTTACCGTTTGGTAGGTGAGTGTTTTATTATTACTTTTAAAGTAAGAGGTTCTCAATTTTTTCACTGTGTTTAATGTTTGTATGCCTATTACGAGATATTTTCGTTAACTGCGAATTGATTTTATTATACTTTTCATTAATTACTTTAGGGATGGTCCCATATAAATTAGGAGACAGCATTTCAACTTTAATGGTAAAAATGCATCCTATAGAATGCTGTGAATTTGGCTACTCTGCGCCTGTGCTCGAGGCTGACAAGATTGGTTTCAACCAAATCAAGGTTACCAATGAGACTTTTAGCACGTCTCTCAGTGGAGATGGTAGGCACATTAATCTGCGCAGATGGTAGACACATTAAGCGGCGCACGGCGGGCGCGGATTGCACGTGTGTGTACGTGTGTACAATGTACCTGCACGGGCGGGTGCGCTGCGTGTAGCGGGTGCACGTGCGCGGCGGCGTGCAGCGCAGCGCGCACGCACTCGCGGTGTGCACGTGTGTGTACGTGTGTACAACGTACCTGCACGGGCGGGTGCGGGTGCGGGTGCGCTGCCTGTGGCGGGTGCGCGTGCGCGTGCGCGGCTGCGTGCAGCGCAGCGCGCACGCACTCGCGGCGCACGGCGGGGCGCGGCGGCCCGCGCAGCCTCGGCGCCACGCGACCCACACGCGCTCGAGGCGACCACGCCTCGTCCCTGCACACAAACACACCACCATATCACTAGGACCGCTCTTAAAATCTACTCATCATACGTTACAGACAAAGTGATCAAGACATACGACGTACCTCAGGGCTCAATTTTTGGCCCACTCCTTTTTCTACTCTGTACATAAATAGTGTCCACCAAATTGGTCTAAAAGATGTTACAATTTATGCCGACGACACGGGTCTGTTTTACTTTAGCCAATTCATTAATGCTATCATACACGAAGCCAAAAATAATTTGGACTTACTGAGTGTGTGGTTCTAAAGGAATCTTCTTACTATAAATATAACAAAAACTATTTACATGATATTTGCCTCAAAAAAAAAACGATAATTACACACCATTAAAATACTATTCTCAGACACCAAAATGACTTGGCTTCCACACATTCCAAAAGTTAAATCAAAACTAACATTCTTCACTGGAGCATTGCGAGGTATTGTTTGCAGCTTAGCTCTTCAAGTAGATTAAATAGCATTTTAATCTATAATTCATTGATAAAGAGGCATATCGACTTTACTTAGTAGACTTTATGTCTTTTAGTAAACTTTACTTAGTAGACTTTACTTAGTAGTTAGTGGAAGTGTGGGGCACTGCTTGTAAAACAATTAGAAGTTTATTGTAAAAGGCACAAAATAAATTATTAAAAATATTATTGAATTAGGACTATCGTTGTCAATAGGTACACTTTATAAATAAACGAAATTGGTGTATATTACTCATACATACATATATAATAAGTTGCATACTAGTACGAAAAATACTAAATAAAAATATACATACTAATATCACTATATAAAGAACAAAAAAGTACATACAATGAAATTAAAACGAGAAAAAGAAATAAAATCGTACGCACCCCGAACAATGTATGGGAAAACAGTAAATTGTCAAGAAATATAAGAGAATCAAAAAACATAGCAACTTTTACAAAAACTACTCAAACATTATATACCAAACACATTGCACACACCGCAATAATATGAGTCACTTCCAGTAACGATCTCGATCTTTGTAAGAAAGATATCGTTGCGCGCCATAATTAATGCCTGATACATGGCGACATTAGTTACCATTAGCGCCCTCTAGTATCGAGTAGCAGAACTAGGAGATTCAAGACCCTTCTTGAGATTTCCATGCCAGAACTTTCTACACTCGGTCGGGACTGGTATGTACTCGAACATTCTAGATGTTTCAGTAGAAGAGGCCCTATATAAGGCCGGTATAGACCGCGACCCGAGTCAGTATCGAATTGGCAATTCAAGCAAATACAGAACTAGTAGTATAATTGTGTTTTATTATTAATGTGTTTTAGGCACTGACCTCTATATATACAAGTACGCTCGTAGACAGAGAAACCTATAGACTAATGATCGGCGTGGCCTCGAGTGAGAAAGGACGATAACGAATTTTTAGGTTATACAATAATCTTTATGACTTTTAAACACATTTAGATAAAAAATTTAATTGTTCTAAGAACTGAACTGAACAAGATTCACCAATCTTAGGCTCACAAAACACTTTCTTCTCACTTAAACCAACTTGTAAACTCCTTAAATCGCTACGCTTTCAAAGTTGTTTAGCAAACTGTAGAGTTTGCTAAACAAAAAAACCGGCACGGTGAAAGGGACAAACAATCACACCGCTGTATCTCATTTCTATGCAAGACGTTGCATAAATCTATCTTTTTCGTGTGCGAATGCGAAAGAAGGCGTCAATTTGTCTATAGGTTTCTCTGTCTACGAGTACGCTGGACTGGCTATACCATAGAAAATGACTGTGCCAATTGAAGCGCCGCTAAAGGATGTCTTGAAAAATAAAATTGACATAATATGCCAGTCTGTTGTCATATTTAAATTGACTTATTTAATAAATCTGTATTTCGAACTTTTAAACTAAAAAACGAAAGTATTTTTTATTTGTTTGATAGTGTATAATATTAGTTACATAATAAGAATTATTTTTATTAATAATGGGTGTGCGTAATCTGTAAAACTCGTTACCAAAAAGGAAGTGGTATAACATTTCACAAGTAAGTGAATTTGCAGCAAATATGAAACAAATTAAAACTATTGTTACGAGCTTGAGGTTCGTGACAGTAAAAACTGGCGATTGGCGGCGAATAACGCACTAGGCGATCCACATGGACGATCCTAGGAGTACCTCTTGCGCCTTTCTGTATCCGGTAGGTTACATCGTTGATCCTGGTTACAATCCGGTACGGGCCGTGCCATTAGTTGAAGCTTAGGAGATTTCCCTTTGCTGCGGACTGGATTGTGCAACCACACTAGTGAACCTTCGTCGAAGCCTTTATTGTTCATTTTGCGGTCGTACCGGGTTTTCATCGCAACATTTGCTGGCCCGATTGTCTGACGTGCTCATAAATGTCATTCATTTTGTTCCGCAAGTCATTTGCATAATCGGTTATACTGCGTGGGGCATCAGGTGGTATCCCGGTGATCAGGTCTGCAGGCAGCCGTAATTCTCTTCCAAAGTTTGCGAAAGCTGGTGTCACTGATGTACTTTCGTGAACAGCGCTTCGATATGACAACAAAAACGGTTGTATGTGCTTGTCCCAATCTCGTTGCCGATTGTCTACAACTTTTGCTAGGTACTTCTCAAACGTCTGATTAAATCGTTCTACCATTCCAACAGATTGCGGTGATAAGAAGTCGTTCTTGCTTTATGAGTACCCATAACTCGGCAAGTTTCCTGGAATATTTGAGACTCAAAATTCCTTCCTTGATCGCTGTGAATCTCTAAAGGTACTCCAAAACGACAGAAAACTTCATGAACTAGTATACCTGCAACTGTTGAAGCTTCTTGATTTGGAATAGCGAAGACTTCTGGCCACTTAGTGAAGTAATCCAGCACAACCATGAAATACTTGTTACCGCTTTCACTCTCCGGAAACGGCCCCACCGCGTCGATGGCTATTCTCTCCCATGGTGCACCAACATTGTACAACTTCAACGCACCTCTACTACGAGTCTGAGGTCCCTTTACAGCCGCACAACTTGTACATTTGCGACACCAGTCCTCGACGTCGTTTCGACATTGGACCCAGTAAAACCTTTCTCGGATCTTCAGTAGAGTTCGTTTAACTCCCAGATGGCCTCCTGAACAATCATTATGGTACAGCTGTAGAACATCCGGTACTTTAGCTTTAGAGACAACCATTTGCAAATGACAGCTGTTTCCCCGAACATTTTCCCATTTACGGCACGGAACTCCATCCTGAAGCAGCAAGCTGTCCCACTGGGCCCAATAGCTTTCAGTGGTCGAACTCATCGCTGAGACGTCGCTCCACTTGGGCTTGGGAGCACTGGCCTTCATCCATTCCAGAATCGGCTTGATATCCGCCGGATCTTCCTGCTGTGCACGTTGTAAGGTGTCCTTCCACTCGTTGCTGAGGTGGTCTGCCCTGAGCACCCTCACGGATACCACTTCCTTACTCTCTTGACTAGTACAATGTTTGCAATCTTCAGGACAAGGTCTTCTTCACAATGCATCTGCTTTGCCATGAGATTTCCCGCTGCGATGTTCGATCTCAAAGTCATTCCTGCAGTAGTTAAATCCACCTCGCAACTTGTCCTTCTGGATTTTTAAACTGCAATAGCCATTTTAGTGCAGCATGGTCAGTTCGTACGTGAAATTTTCGCCCCAGAAGATATTTGCTAAAATGCTGCAACGACTTTACCACAGCTAGCAATTCGCGTCTTGTGACACAATAGTTCCTTTTCGGTTTTGACAACGACTTGCTGAAGTACGCTATCACGACCTCTTGGTCACCATTCCGTTGAGACAATACACCGCCAAGTCCTATATCACTTGCGTCTGTGTCAACTATAAATTCTTTGCTTGCATCAGGGTATCCCAAAATAGGTGTTTTGCACAGACGGTCCTTGAGCTCCTGAAATGCGATATTGCAACCTCCATCCCAGCAGAAATGTCGCTTCTCCTTGGTTAGCTTGTGCAGAGGTTTTGCTATATCTGCAAAGTTCTTCACAAATCGCCGATAATAGGAGCACAGACCCAAAAATGCTCTAACCTGCGTTTTGTCTTTTGGAACCGGCCAATCCTTGACAGCGGCGATTTTCTCCGGATCCGTGCGGATACCTTCTTCCGACACTACTTCCTCAAACGTACGGCCCACGATAATGATGTCATCCAAGTAGACCAGACAGGCATCGCCAATTAGCCCGGTAAGTACAAGCTCCATCAGCCTTTCAAACGTTGCTGGAGCATTGCACAATCCAAACGGCATTACTTTAAATTGCCACAGACCCTTTCCCGTCGAGAACGCAGTTTTCTCCTTGTCCTTAGGGTCAATTTCAACTTGCCAGTAGCCACTTTTAAGATCCAGCGTGGTGATAAACCACTTTACTCGTGGTGTCATCAATTCTTGGCAAGGGATAGCTGTCCTTCTTTGTAACGTCGTTCAAACGGCGGTAGTCAACACAGAACCGCATGCTGCCGTCCTTCTTCTTTACCAGCACCACGGGTGAACACCATGGACTAGATGAAGGTTCAATAACACCATCCTTCACCATTCCCTCAATCATGGTTTCCACTTCCTTCTCACGTGCTACCGGCAATCTTCTTGGCCGCTGACGGATAGGCAATTCTTCTCCTGTGTTTATTTTGTGTTGAACCAAGCCAGTCTTTCCTATGTCAGCTTCGTTTTATGACAATACATCGGCATACTTGAGTAACAACTTCTTTGCCTTGACCATTTCGTTCGGGGAGAGAACGCTGCGACAGTCTTCCAAAAGAGTGGTCACTCTCGTTTCTGCATCCTTGCTGGGGTCCCACTCGATAGATGTTGGCAGCGACGTAACCAATTCACTTCCTCACAAGTACCAACCAGTGTGCCTTTTTCTATAATCAGTTCCTGTCCACAAAGGTTCAGCACACGTACTCCTGCGATGTCAGTGGTTCTGACCAAGGTGCGAACTACTTTCCATAGAAGGTCATTGTTTACCCTT